ACCTCTACGTAAGCACTTAAATAATATGCATTATAAGTTCATAAAATGGAATTAATAATAAAAATAATAAATGCTTATTTTCATATTGGTTTATGAGTGTTGGCAGTTGGTACCTATGATACCTATACCTATCTGTAGTAATAATAGATTTCTTTTCAAATGAAATGTTCAAAGTCTTTCCATTTACCTGTTTCTATATTTTACTATCGGTTATTAGGTATGTACCTGGTTATCATTATGATTATCATAAAAATAAACAGATATTACATGGGATGGGAGTATAAACTATCTTTACATAATTTCAGAAATAATCTTTTTATAAATATAATATCAATACTAGTAATAAGTATTATTAACTATGGTACCTAGTTCGATTTTTATGTAGATAAATATTGTATCTAGTAACAGAACTTTTATTTTTTATTTTTTTAAACCGATTGTCCGTTTACTATGATTAATTGCTAATAAGTTAAAAAAATAATAGTGAAGGACATTCTTTTGGGCATGCTAGGGCCGATTTCGACGATGTCCTTTGATCTTTAATATCTCTTTGTAGACATGACAGCCTTTATAGTTTGCAGGATGGTCACACAAGCAAAGGGCGCACTTAGCAGGAGTGTTGCGGTCTGTTTTTGTACACTCTGATGTTTTATGTCCTTCACCACATTTGACGCATCTGTATGGCCTCATACAGTTGTTTTTGGAGTGGCCATACTGCGGGCATCTTTGAGATTGTCTTTGTCTTGCGAGGGTATTCAACTGTAATCCGTCCATGATAAATGTATTGCATGTCGTGGATGGCTTTATTACAATGGCTTGGTTCTAAGTTAACAAAAAATGTTGATGTTGGCTTTTTGTCAGGACCGTATCTTGAGTTAATGATTTCACCTTATTACCAGTCTTTTCTATTTCTTCTACAATAGCTTCATGGGGAGTAGTGTGAATTTAGTACTCGATGAGTGCTAGGAGTATGTGAAAAAATTTGGAAAAAAAAATTTTTTTTTAACCACTGATAATGATAAATTAGGAGGCTGGACGAGGCCTATGTGTCTGCAGGACACGCTGAATTATAAGTAAAGGTTAATGATGTGTATTTTATATAATTATCAGCAATAAAGGCTTTTGTATTTTGTATTTAATGATAAATTACTGATCCAGATCTATTATTCAACTGGGTCACTTGCTCAGACTGTCATACTCGCAGTTCTGTTTAGTCCTCAACGTACGCGTAGACACTTCCTTATTTAAGCATAAAATAAAATACTTGAGGAGGAGGATAACAGGAGCTTCGAGTGATTAGTTATCATAAAATGATTATTTTTATTTTCGAATGAGCTCTACTTAAACTAAAAGGGATAATAAAACTTAAGATTGACAAAATATGCAAAAATACTACAAAATTATAAAATATGAAAATTACTCTATTTCTGATACAACACCTTCAACAACAGATTTCAGCAAATAATGCCCCATTTAGTACATCTTTTTTTGTATTTTAATTAAAGCTTATGTAGTCGGGCAGTTTTTAAAATTAGTCAGATGTTATGGAACATCTATTTTCATTTTTTTTATTTCAATTGAAAATCCATTCTGTTTTACTTAATTCATTTTTATTTAGTATCCATCAAATTTTTTATATCTTAGGTTAAAGTTAGGAAGGAGATTATTTTTCTTATAACTGCAAGCACTAGGCATTCTATTAAAAAAAGAATTTCGAAAAAAAATCGACCCAAAAAGAAGTTATACTTTTTTAAAGTTGTATTATCGTTGAACTTAAACAATAACGAAAAAAAAAATCTAACTCGAAAACTACGCAAAATCGTAGAACATACATGGGGATTCAATTGATAGGTATGGTACTCCGCTATCAGCTCGCACTGGCTTGACACCCTAGAAGAAACACCCTATATAATAGTGAATAGTATGGATTAGAACAGATGGGAGTATTTGCTATTTTATTGCATTAAAAATGAATCTACTGAATAGAAAACTTTGTATCAAGCTTAGATTAAAACAAAAAGGGTAGATACGGCACTAGCCTCACAAAAGTGATCCGCATAAATTGTGGTCCACGACCCTAATCCCTTTAGCAGCGCTTTAGTCACAACTTGACATGCAAACGACGTACATGTGAACGCCGAAAAGAAATATTGCTAATACTTTGTGTTTATATGATAAAACAATGCCTAAGTGTGTTTTTAAAAAGTGCTCAAATTGCTCAAAAACTTAAAATAAAACCACCACGGCATCACTTTTCATTCGTAAGTCCTATATTATATTATATACTAGTACATTTTTTCATTAAAATTGCTGTTTCTTTTGAATCTTATTCGGTAGTGATGTCGAGTACTGGTCGCGTGAGTGGTCAGTAGTGCAGGGACGCGAATCTCGCCGTCTTGTTTGCGTGCCATTGAAACTTAAATTGCTGTTTCGTTCGTTCAATTGTATCTTTACAAACAGGTGGATGTGTGAGTGTTGCATATTATGTAATAAAGAGGGATCAGTTTTTGTTTGATGCAAGTATGAGTGTACCGTATCTACCCTTTTTGTTTCTAAGGCATAAAGTATGATTTTAACAGATTTTCAAATTTATCAAGGCTTACCTCTTTCTTTATGTATTCTGGTATCTTATTACATACCATCTATAAACATTTCTAATTTTGGATTTGTTATTGAGTCGAACATTGTACAGTAAGTATATTGTTTGTGATGCTTTTTTACAAATGAACCAATTTCTAATAAATAAATTCATAGTCTTCAAGCATTTTTTAATAATTTTAAAAGTATTTTGTGCATTCATATATTAAATTATTATCTACTACTTGGAATTTAAATATTCATCCATAAAATAGAAGCAGTTATCAATTAGAAATTTTATTAGTTTTGTATTACATGCGGTAATAGTTTTTTCTAAATTATTGAACATTGTAAGATAACATACCACTTAATCTGATTTTTTTTATATATATTATAATAATGCCTCAAAAATAAAGATATAGGAAAAAACTGAAAGCAACCAAAACTCTGATGTTGATAATAGTGCCAGATCTCCAACAGGTTCTTATCTCTAGGTCCAAGTATGACAAACAAAAGTACTATTCAATTTGGTTTGTTTGTCTTAGAAAGTGTAGACAATAAAAAAGAAAAAAAGTTTACAGATATGTTGCTATCTGTCAGGGACCTCCAGAGGAGGTTTCCTGTTTATACAATAGGTAGTATAATATTTCCTATAATTTAGTTCTGATCTACTGTTTTCTCTCAGATGTGTATCTATTTTCAAAAGTGTTTTTACTACTACAGATTAACACAACTGGAAAATTACTATTTGCATAATTCCTGTTCATTTTAATCATCATCATCATCATTTATAGGATTCCATGGGTACCATGGTAAGAGCTTTATTGTAAAGTTTTCTCATATCTTCTTCTTACTTAACATGAATAGCAGTTAGTTTTTTATTATAAATAAAAAAAATCTTATACTTTACTCAATCAAAGATCTGAGAAATATTCAGGAATTTTGCATAATTCCTGTTTATTTTAATCATCATCATCATCATTTATAGGATTCCATGGGTACCATGGTAAGAGTTTTATTGTAAAGTTTTCTCATATATTCTTCTTACTTAACATGAATAGCAGTTAGTTTTTTATTATAAATAAAAAAAATCTTATACTTTACTCAATCAAAGATCTGAGAAATATTCAGGAATTTGACACAACTGTATTTCTTGATTTAAAATGCTTTTTATGTATTTCTTCCCTTTCAAGGGTTTTTTTTCAACCAGTCTATGCACCTAACTTCATAGTGCCATGAAAGTCAAATTGGTGGTCAGGTATGACTTTAAATACTGCAATTACAGTGTTGAATCACTGTAAAAAGAATTTATGGAAATTCCTTCTAAAGCTTCAATAGAATGGGCAATAAACAGAACTGGTTTACAGGAAGACACATATTCGTTAGGTTTTCCAGTTTGAGGACCATTGATTTGTGCTACATATACATTTTTAAAATACTTAGAATCACAACTAAAAAATACTACACCTGTCAAGCCAAAATCCATCAAACCATTTAGACTACAGAAAGTGTCAAAGGCATAAAAATACACTTAACTATGCTTATGGGGAAGTCACATAAAAAGGGCCCTTCAAAAATCTGTCGCCCGGAGCCTTGTAATGGGTAAGACCACCCCTGATTTGTGAAATATAAACCTGTAGTCTCCTAATAAAGAAGTACAGACTTAGGGCAGGCAAAGTATGACCCTACAACAGAGTTAAATTCAGCCCTCCACAGAACCAGAGCAATAAACTTAATTCAACCTTGTTGGAGAAATAAATAATATATTGAAAAAATATAAAAGTGGCCTAATATTATATACATTAAAAAAAGAGATATTCAAAAAAAAAAGTAGAAGCAAAGCATGCTTATTATCTTATTAATGGTTGCAAACCACTCACAAGATCTCAATGGCCAAAAGTAAGAATGCTTTAAATTTTGTAAAATAAGTACCTATGTAACACCTTAAAACAATATTGTATGTAATTGCTGCCAAGAGAAAAACAACAATTCTACATTCAACAATGAAGGAAATGAAATTATAAGACAAGTGAAAACTACGCATTAGTGTGTACATATCTAAAAAAAGCAGACACCTTGACAAAACACGAGGTCAATACACTCGACAACGAAATCCATGTGATGAGACGATAGGTACCTATCTATTACCAAACCTAAACAGATGAAGTTTTTCAACTTTAGTATTTCTTTAGGAGTAAATTCGTAAATCTAATACATACTAATGCATCTTTCCACTATATGATGTGAATTTGAGGCAATAATTAAGCTTTTAAAATGCAATAAAACATAGTTTGTTATGAATTATGAAATTATCGAAGACATTATTTACTGTATACATACAGATTTCATATCTTAAAAAATGTTTATTTAACAGTTAACACAGCAGTAGGTGCCTTTGTAATAGAACTTAGAGATTTCCTTACCGAACCATGACCTGAAGTAAGAGGCCATGTATAAACAACAGGTTCCGCGCCTGCAGGAGAGTGCAGGCGTAAATCCAATGCCATGATAGGGTAACCGCTGCATTAAATCATACACTTATCACTTATAAACTAAAATTATCACTAAAAACACTTTTTAATAACATAATTTCACTGCACTTTCACACACACATACTTCAAACTACCGGGCGCCATGTTGAAAATATTTCCAAATTCTAAACATGGCCGCAACGCACCTACCTAATACCAAGTACCTAGATGATGCGTATATACTGGAATAGGTTTTAAGAACAGGTTTTATCGATAACGTATGAATACTTCATTTATTAAAGCCGTTTTTCTCTCTGGTTTTTCTGCGATTCCGTTTATTTATTTTACTGTACAGCAGCGTTGCCGTTTTGTGTGTAATTACATATTTTGTGTGTAATCAAGGTCTCTCGTGTGTAATGGGCATATGTGTGTAATGAGAGCTATCGCGTATGAATCCGCCGCTAGAGGCGCTTGTGTAGCGTGAGGTCTCCGAAATGTCAAATGTTATTGGTTGTGGGTTGACTACGCGGGTTTATTTCTAATTAAAATAATGTTGTGAATATTTAGTAATAACTCGTCTTAATTATAGCAAATATGAGTTACGTGGCATTGAATGCCAGTTATTTAAAAGCGGAGCTAAGAAAAATAATTATGTCCTCCTTTTTGCCGTACAAAACGGAGCTTCGCAACACTGTGGTATGGCCAATTATGTTTAGAATACGGTTCTTTTGTATTAAAATATGATTTAAATGTATACTTTGATTTCACGCGCGTATTAATAAACATTAAAAGTTACAATTCAGGACCTCACTCAACAGTGGCGCCATCTGGTGAGACAAAAAACGGTAGCCCTCATTGTGTGCTATTAAAACCGCTCTCAAACACTTTTCAATAATTCGCTCCTGCATGGAAAGAATTGGAACTTTTCTACTTAAATCTAAAGTAAAGTTTACTAGAAAAAAATCCACGCGGACCAGGCAGCGGACGGGACTCGAACCCGCATCCTTCGCTATCCGGGCGAATGCACTGACCATTATGCTACCACGGCCCTATTAACCGCGTCGAAATTTTCCTAGCCTTAAGCTGCAAGGCAGCGCCATCTCTTCGCATTGCAGGTAACCCACTATGTCAAATGAATACTTTTTCAAGTATTAAACATTTGAAAGAAGAAATAGCAATTATAGATATGATTTTATTTATTTAGAAAAAAAAATCCACGCGGACCAGGCAGCGGACGGGACTCGAACCCGCATCCTTCGCTATCCGGGCGAATGCACTGACCATTATGCTACCACGCATAGAAAAAAATCCGCTGCCTGGTCCGCGTGGATTTTTTTCTAGTAAACTTTTCTTTAGATTTAAACATCTAGCAGTTAAATGCTTAAAAAATAAATAAAATCATAACTATAATAAGCTAGTTGACCCTTTTTGGAAAAAGGTTTTAAATGGTTAATAAATGTTCTATTAGACCGAAAAAAAATGTATTGTATTTTTTTGAGACCTAAAAAGCTACAAATCTTTAATTATAAAATAGATTTTTCATGGACATACAAAAACGCTATCGGCCATTTTAGTCTATAGATTATCTATGCTATGACGTTAACTGCAGTAAACACATATAGAAAGGTAAATAAACAAAAACTCATAAGTTAATAACTGACTTTATAATAAACAAAAGATGATTTCTAATAAATACCCCGAAAAATAAAGTAATTATCATTATTGTATTGTACGAGAATATAAAAACACATCCTTGAAGATTCCAGGAAAGTTGTGAATTAAAAGTGCCGAAAGAAATTAACCTACGCAACTTTATTACACTTATTCATATGTTGTATCAGTTTCATGTTTATTACTACATTGTAATACTAAATACACTGTACTTACATAGATGCCTTGTCGTTTCTCTGCTCCGCAGAGCAGAAATCGGGGTTTAGTGAAATAAATTCACCAACCATGAATGCGTCAATTCTTGGCAGATTTGTGCTTTCTGTTTTCACAAAGCCGGCATCCATAATTAGTTTTTTCAAAAAAAACAGTAAACGGAAATTTTTCTAAAGTTAAAAGTGTTTTTATGATAAATTTAGTCAGACGAAAGAATCCACCCACAGTAACGCGCGAATGACATTTAGTTGTTTACCATATGAGACGTCACAATCATGGCGGATGTGGCGAACAGCGTTTTTAGTGTTTAAAAAATATAGACTAAAAATTTTTTTTTAAAATTTCTTCAGCAATCTACTGCTTTTATGAAGTGAAATTGATATATTTAGGTTCCTTAGACCAAATACTTTATGAAATAAACACTTATTTAATACAATTCGACATGAGTCAACTAGCCTATTGCTATTTCTCCTTTCAAATGTTTAATACTTGAAAAAGTATTCATTTGACAATGGTGTCGATTCTGGCGTGATTCTCTAAACTTAAAACTAAATTTAACATCAGTCTCTCTTTTTCATTCTGTATAGAGAAGGACAAGGAAACACTGTTGTCAAGTTTAAGTTTAGACTTAGAGAATTGTGCCAGAATCGACACCATTGTGGGTTACCTACAATGCGAAGAGATGGCGCTGCCTTGCAGCTTAAGGCTAGGAAAATTTCGACGCGGCTAATAGGGCCGTGGTAGCATAATGGTCAGTGCATTCGCCCGGATAGCGAAGGATGCGGGTTCGAGTCCCGGCCGCTGCCTGGTCCGCGTGGATTTTATTCTAGTAAACTTTTCTTTAGATTTAAACATCTAGCAGTTGAATGATTAAAAAATAAATAAAATCATTTTCTACTTAAGTTAGGGTACGGCCAGAGTACACTCAGATTCAGATTCAGACTCAGAAAACAAGCGCGAGAAATAATAAAAGCTTTCTTAAAAAATATTAGAGATTGTTATTATAATATTAGTAAGGCAAAGAGCAACAAAAATATATTTCAAAAATAAAGTAAATATTATAACCACGTACTGGTGTCGATTCTGGCACGATTCTCTAAATCTAAATTTAAATTTGACAACAGTGCATCCTTGCCATTCTCTATACAGAATGAAAAGGAGAGACCGATGTTAGTTCTTCATCATGTGAGGTTCAATTTTTAGTATAATTTTTTAAATTTTTAGTGTAGTTAGAACGTTTCCACTTCCATCCTAAAATATTGGAAGAAACGTTTCCTATCGACTTTTGATTAGGGAAACAAATGATGGTAATCCCAATATTCTCCGATCGATCTTCATTAGAAAACTCCTCCATGATTACAACTGCGAAAACACCCCCAAATTTAGGTTTCTGGATCAATAGCTTCGAACGCGTCGAATGAGAAAGAGAGACTGTTGTATAACTGTCGATTGCGACTTTTACAGATTAAAAGTTTATGAAGTGGTTTTATTTTAGTATAAAAATGTAATAAAGAAAACCCCTGTTTCCCCCAAAACAAAATTTCTTCCTCCATTAATCCCCCCATCGCTTTAAAAACCCCCCAAATTTGGAGTAACCTCCGCCAACCTGGCAACAGTGCTCGCGTCCGCGTCTTGTATTATCTGCCTCCACTGTGGCCATCACCTGCTTTGCTCAAGTTGACATCTCACGAGCCTGTTTTCTCTGAATCTGAGTGCACTCTGGCCGTACCCGTACCCTTAGGGTGCGGCCAGAGTGCACTCAGATTCAGACTCAGATTCAGATTTCGAAAACAAGCGCGAGAAATAAACAGTGTAGTCTAAGCAGGTTGCCTGCTTTTTCTCGCGCTTTGTTTTCTGAGTCTGAATCTGAATCTGAATCAGGAGTGCAATCTGGCCGTACCCTTCGACTACACTGTTTATTTCTCGCGTTTGTTTTCGAAATCTGAATCTGAATCTGAGTGCACTCTGGCCGCACCCTTACTTTGATAAAAGAGTTCGTTCTATTCATAGACATACATAGTATCAATATGTCTATGGTTCTATTACTTTGACACTTGACAGCAGCGTCAGAGCGAGATAGTATATTGAGAATTTCTAAAATGCGAGAGAGACAGACTCTGTTGTCTCTATGCAAGTATATTAACTGTCTTCGCGCTTTGCATGCATTGTTTGTGATTGTTGTTGTTATGTTTATTTACTGTTTTAACTGTTCAATCTCTCACTGCTCACTGACTGCTATTGACGGTTTACCAGGGTTTACCACCGACATTCCGAAAATAAAAGCATACAAATAAATATAAAGCGCGTATTCCACCTAACTAAATTCAGACGTCCTAGTTAGGATCCTAAAAAGAAAGCTAATTAGAATAGACGTGTGTGATGATGGTTATAAGCAGAAAATTTATGTAGGAGAGAAAAATATATAAAGAGCATGCCTGCCTAGATAATTATTTAAAGGAAAAATTAATTCAACAAGACAGGATTGAAGTGTGGAAATACAGGCATTTAATTGGCTATTCGTGTTTGCTATTTGTTAACTTGACATTAGTCTGTCTTTTTCATTTCATAAAAGGACAGACTGTTTGCAAGTTTCCAAATGCATATACGTATAGCCAAATGAAGTGCCGGCATAAAGCAAGCGAGAGAGCGCCTCTAAATCCAGCCATTGTAAAGGCAGAACATGTTTACGTGTCGTTATTTTACTATAGTGGTTTTTGCGATGTTTTAGGATATTTTGTAAATGATATAAATCAATGTTTTTGTATGGAGGTGTAGTAAGTTAACTGTTTATTAGTGTTCCCTCTATTTTAAAGTTTCTCAGGTGATTCAAAATTCACGGTGTAGATCGTAGAAAATAGATCTCGGTATTGAGAACTTTTTAACATTGATATTCTAAAATAAGCTCTTTTTTTCAATTTATGCACTGTATGCGTATAATGCTATTCAACTAAGAATAGGACCGACTAAGCGCCATATTTTAACGTCATAGCTGTCAATTCAAACCAAACAGGTACAGTTTGTCTATAAAGTCGTGACATTAAATGATGGCGCCTCTAGTATGCATGTAGCAACCCTATACAGTCGGACCATAATGATTTTGATACTAGCAGTTCATTCAAGTAAAATAGGTAATTAAGACACACTTTACAGTCGTATTTTGTTTCTGTTTTATATATAGTAATAGTAGGTACCTATGCTTATAAAAAGTTTAGCCAAGCATATTTAATTGAATCAGAATAAAATTATTATAGATAAAATAGTACTTTATAGTGTAAAAGTGTGTAATGTTGGTGATTACCGCTGAGGTGCCATTGAGACCAGAGCCGTTAGGTAATCATCAATACACACAAGTATCATCGTACGACGTTTTTTATTTAACACACTTGTTAAGAAAATAATACTAAAAATCATTTTACAGTATATAAAAAGATTATTTAGAGAAACAATTTGTAAATGTGCAGTTACTAAAATTAGT